CCTACATTTCTCCTCCAAGTTCTTACATTTTAACATATACATGTGTTAAATGAATCCTTCTCTCCGTCCTGGCGGTTTCTTTGGACTCCAATGTGAAAGACAAAACCTGCTTTTGATCTGTGCAAAGACGGCTTCTCATGATCACTGGTTTCCTCGTCATCCTTCCCATTCATGGAAACACAAACAAGTCATCTTAAATAGTGCAACCTGTAGAGGACGGGTTCATATGGACGAGAACTTTCATATGAGCAAGGGATAAAATACTGACTTTAAAAAGTAGTTTCCCAAATGTGAATGCTGTATCTGTGTATAGACTGTACCCCATGTTGTGGCATTCTGCATATCTCCATTACTGATAAGAGGAAAAAAGCATCATGGCAGGTGCACCCATCACCAGTCAGTCTGAACACACAAAAACACCTGATTGCAAAATCTGACAATGTCCCCCCAGATGATAAACAGGATGGTTGATGGGTGCAGAATCAGGCTGCCTGCTCAGGACGAGCAAAGTGCAGTGTTCTGGTCCGTATTGGCCCCGACGGGCTCAAATATTTGGATAAACACAGCGCGCCGCCGCCCCGCCCCACATGCATGCAGTAATGCATGATGTGCACATTATGCCAATGTCATGTGCGCGCAAACATCTGCTGCAGGTTTCCGGCTCCAGCCAGTATGTTTACATTCCGACACGACACCAAGTCAAAGGAGAAAATCAGTGAAAGTAACGCGACCTCAGCGTAATAACTTGAGCCCGCACACAGGCAGCAGATCACTCAGCTGCCAACGTTAGCCCAACGTTCCCGGGATGTTTTGACGTGAAACGAATGCATAAGCGAACACGAGCGATAAAAACGCAGGCTGTGCATTTGTCCCCCGTGTATATTTCACGGCTAAAGTTGTCCGTGTAGCTAGCGGGCGGACAGCCGTCGCAGATGGATTTAGCTTGCGGGCTGCGAGAAAAACAATCCCGGCTGAGCTAACGTCAGGCTAACGTTAGCTTCGAGGTCGCATGTACACATTACCTGGCAGAAGTTGTCGCAGTACTCCGTGGACGACTCCACGGATATTTCTTGCTGCCTGAGTACGTCCTCGAAAGCTCTCAGCGTGGCCAGCAGCGTTTCCATTGCGACCAGAGTGTCCTCGGCCGTGTCCAGGGCCCGGTCGCTCCATTCGTGCTCTGGTTCGACATTATTCTCCGCCATCTTCGCTCTCCGCCACGGCGCGTATGCAGTGCAGCCTGACGCCGCCTTCACTTGCCGTCGGAATATTTAAATATGTCAGCTGAACTTCACCTGAATGACCCCGAAACACCAAACTGGAGAAGTGGTGGACTGGAGGAGCTGCCGTGTGAAGTCGGTGGGCGTTATTATTCGCAGGTTGTTGTCTTTGTGGGCTTTGAGGTCCACTCTTAGAGGCAGAGGAGGCTCAAGAACCCCGTTTGGGTTCCTCACCTCGGCCACTGTGGAGAGACCTTTGGAGTTTGAACTGGGTCTGTGAAGAACCCTTCAGAAAGGTTCCTCAGTGAACCGTTTGTGCGGTTTGATGCTCCATGTTGGAGTATTAACATAAGACAGAACTGTAGATGTTCCTGAACACACAGGAGAGACTTTCTCCCGTTTAAACAAACAGGGAGCTCTGCATTAGTGTTGAGTTGTTTGTACACATCTGTCAGCAGAAAGTCAAGATTCTAATCAGACACCAGCCTCCAAAACCTGCATTTAGTTACATCTCCAACATCATTCAGTTTTATTTATATACCACCAGTTTACAGTGTCTGTCTTCTCATAGCACTTTACATAGTGAGGTCAAGACCGTGCAAATTTTAAACAAAGAAAGCCAACAAATCCAAAGTTTCTTCTGATTTCCTTTGAGCAAACACGTGGCCACACATACACAAGAAAACAATAAACACTTTGGAGATCGAACGGCCAGAAACTGCAGATCAGAGATGTGTAGTTCAAGGACCAGAGACACCTGCAGAGAGGACAAAACACAAATGATGGGACGACACAAAGAGGAAAGTTTTAAGCCTAAAAGAAGAAAGGACGTCTGCCTCCCAAACCCAAACTGGGAGCTCATTACACAGCAGAGGAGCTGATAACTGAAGGCTCTGCTTCCCACTTGACTTCTGGAAACTCCATCCATCCATCCATCATCTCTACACCTTCATCCTCACCAGGGTCATGGGGGGCGGAGTCTATCCCAGCTGACTCAGGGTGAAGGCAGGTTCACCTGGACAGGTAACCAGTCTATCACAGGGCTACACTTAGAGACAGACAACCAAGCACACTCACATTCACACCTACGGACAATTTACAATCACCAATTAACCTCAGCATGTTTCTGGACTGTGGGAGGAAGCCGGAGAACCCGGAGAGAACCCACGCTGCACGGGGAGAACATGGAGACTCCACGCAGGAAGATCCCGGGTGTCCTCACTGGGACGCCAACCGGCGACCTTCTAGCTGTGAGGTGATGGTGCTAACCTGCACAGGTCAAAATAGTGTCAGAGAGCGAAGTGCTCTGTTGGGATAGTACAGTACAATAAGGTCTTTATGATAAGATGGAGCTTGTTCATTAAGAAGGATTTTAAATTCTATCCTGAATTTTAACAGGGAGGTTGTACAGAAACATCACACAGACGCATGCACAAGTGAAATGAAACCTGATGCATCTACATTTAAAACAAATGCAAACAATCCGGATTCTAATTCAAATTCAGAACCTGCTTTGCAACAACAGTTCAGCTTCCTCATCCAGCTTCTGAACATCCTTTAATGCCAGTTGAAGCTGATGGTACAAACACTGACATTTTGGTTGATGGTGAAGCTACAATTTCAGCTCTAATGAAAATGTGTTCACCCCAACGTCGATTGTCTTCACTACAGTGGGAGTTTCTGGCGCCCTGTGACTGAGCCACGAGTCCAACAAACTAAAAAACAAATTGTACCTCTGATGTATTGTTTCTTACTGTTCCTGATGACGAGGCGCTGCAGGCTGTTCAGTGTTTACAACCTGTTCATGACTTTCGTTGTTGCTGGACAGTTTCAGATTCCCATCTTTCCCATAGCACATATTAAAGCGTTGCTAAAGACGAGCTTGTGCATCTGTTGTCTGCTGTGAGGCCTTTGCTGAGGTGCTGTTGTGTTGCTGCTGTTGATTCATCAGTATAAACATCTTGCTGCTGCTTTCGTACAACAACGAAACCAATTAGTTTTTAAAGACTTCTTGATTGTGGGACCTGAAGGGTGTGTTTTGCCAATTAAGTTGAGAAAAGACCAAAAACTCTATAAAAATTTCACGACGTTTCGCCTCAAATTAAAGTGTCGTACCCTCTGGCTCCACCTAGTGGCAGCTTTTCCTTCTCTTCCTCCTCCTCCTCCTCTCCTTTCTCCCCAGGTGGGCGTGGGAGGTGTGGACAGGTGCAGTGACATAAAAAAAAAACACATGAAAATTGACCCTTTTCCCTTCGAGGTATCTCATTTCAGCTGTTGGCTGACGTCGTCCCAAACTGTCCTACAGGTGAGAGGAGGTCACTACGTTTGGTCTCTGCTCTCCTTCAGCCTCTACCGGCCTGAGCCCTGTCTCCATGTTCAGGCCTTATCTTGTCCTAATGTGACTTTCTGATGGACAGGAGCTACTGTAGTAGGAGGAGCATAGGACAGAACAATACTGAGCAAACTAACGGTCTCCATATTGGTCCAGTCTGGCCCCTCACCCAGAAGACGATGAGAGAGGATCCTCAGAACTGATGCTGGCACTGTTTGCATGAACTGCTGCTCTGTTGGTGTCACTTCTCCAGATATCAGTAAACCTCATCACAACATCTGAGTCTCTGTGTTCGCCTCCTCATCCTCCAACAACCTCTGGTTTCCACGACAAATATGGCAGAAGTATGATCTCTGTGACTGGTTCCTGTCAGAACTCTGGCTGCAGCGTTTTGGATCAGCTGGAAGTTTTTAAGAGAATTATTGGGACATCCTGATAGGAAGATACGAGTCAGAATTTAATGCCAGTATTAGATATATTCATAATGGGGCCCTTTAAACACTGGCAGCATTATTATTCCTTCATCATTAACTGAACCAAACTGATCATATTGAATATATGTTGATTAAAAGTTTGCAGTTTACCCAATTACAGTACAGCTGAGGTTTTTGTTTTAACTAAAGTGTCTGTTAGGCCTAACTCTACAGAAGTGTCCTCCAGAGTCCCTTCTGGAGTTATTGGAGGTTCCTCCAGCAACCGCTTGTCTGACTTGAATACCCCCAAAGTTCTGAGAGGCTCTCCAGATTCTAAGAGAGGAGGAAACTGTTTTAACATGTGTGTATATAATACTCTCTCAGAAGCTGAAGAGCCTCAAGGAACTCTGGGGGAATTCAAAGAAACTTGCTTTGTGGGGTTTCTGGAGGAACCAGCTCGATTCAGGGCAGCGGTTCCTGCAGGAACCTCTAATAACTAAAAAAGGGGTTTCTGGAGAATTTTAACATGAAGAATCAGCTGGGTTCATTTCATAATAAACAACATGGCTGACAGTATTACAAACATTAAGACCAAGCTCATGAAAATAGGATTGTCATTTTATTATTAATAATGTTATTTCATCAGTTATTAATTTTCTTTATTCTTCTCCTAGCTTTTTTTTTTTTTTTAACCTCTTAAGACCTGGTGTCCACATGTGTGGGCATCACATTTTGGGTTATATTACTACAGTAGTTAATGTTTATTTTTTATTATTTTGTTATTGTTGTTTATTTACAATATTTTTTTACAAATATATTTTATTCTCTTTATATATTTAAATATATATATATTATTAATATTATATAATTTAATAATAAAAGAAAGTACCTATCAAACACGAGCTCAGGTCTTCAGAGGTTAGTGGTATTTGTCGCCCTCTACAGGTGAGCAGGTGCATTTCACTCTGCTGTTGACCCGGAAGTACATTGGCCTTCTCTCAGCTGCACGTGTGGAAGGTAAGCAAAGTCTGAAAACAGATGTAAGAAGGATTTTAGACGCAGATCTGTGTTTATTACCGGTCGATGTGGTTGTAAACCAGCTTGTAGGATCTGATGCGGAGACACAGAACATCCGGCTCGGTTCCGAAACTTTAAGGATATTCGGTTTGTTAAACAGTCGAGAAGAAGGAATCCGCGAATTTAAATCGATCCTGGTGAGCTGTAGAGTCAATCAACATAATGTCCGTGCGTTAGTTTACCGGCTCTGTGTCCTGGATTATAAACTATTGATCTTCTCTGAAACAGATTTAAAGGATCAGTTCGTGGATCGAATGCATCCAGATGTTTATATTTGTCATTCTGGTTATATTTTAAACCATCGTGACAGCTCACAGGATAACTACAAAAGAGATTGATTCTTTATTTTATATATAAAACTCATCCATGGATGTTTCCTGCAGCTGACCGAGGATGTCAGACTCAACACAGGAAACTATACATATAAACACACACACATATATACACATATAGAATAGAACTTTATATATACTATATTACTAAATGTTATGCCTGATTATGTGATAAACTGCAAACATTTCTTTGGTCACAGTTATCTAATTACAAGACATTTTCACAGATTCGTCCATGTTGTCAGTTCAGACGTGATCTTCTGTATATTTGTGCATCATGACTGTTTGATCCAGATAAAAACAGACGTACAGAAACCAACATTACAGCTTTAACACGAGGCCTGCAGGCAGAATTACATTTTCCTACGATGCTCATTTGCACTCGACTATGTCAGGACTCCGTCTTGACTTCCTGTCTCGTCTCGTCCTGTCCTGCAGCGTCCATCATGGGGAAGTCCAAGCAAACGGGAAACCACAAGAGTGACAAGAAGAAGAACATCGCAAAGACGTGGAAGACGAAACGCAGAACCAAAGATCTGGACCAGATCCACTCGGACATGAAGCCCGAGACGGCGGCCAAGCTGCTGCATCAGGAGGTGGACTACGACGTGACGGGATGTGCACAGCACTACTGCCTGCACTGCGCGTAGGTGTTTCTGTAGGTCCTCGTAGACGTCTGCAGCTGGACGGGTCGGCTTCATGTCTAACTGATCTTTCCAATACGTAACATACAGCGATTAGACTTCTTCTCATATGTGAATTAAGCAGCTGTACATCCTGCAGCACACGTCCTGACTGTGTTAGTGTCGGTGCTCATTAGAAGATGGAGACGAGCTGGATTCGCTGTAGAGGCCCACTGTTAGGAAGCATGTATATTTTCCCATAATGAGATTGGGTTTACTGTCACATTCAAACATTCACAACTGAGGAGCTGAAAAGTGAGAGGAACTGAGAAGCATTTAACATCCTTGTTAAAAAATAATGCTAAACGATTGTCATCAAATTAATTAATTTGTATACAATCTGCATGTGGCTTTTTAATGCGGTGAACCTTCATGTCTTGCAGGAGATATTTCGTGGACATGAGGTCGCTGAAGGAGCACTTCAAAACCAAAGTGCACAAAAAGCGGTGAGGCATCATGAGCCCCGTCTACGATAACCGATTAGCCGTTATATGTTTTGACTCTTTATCCTCACCGAGGCAGCTTTGTGAGTTTCTCACCTTTCTGCCTCCGTCCAGGTTGAAACAGCTCAGAGAGGAGCCCTACACTCAGGCTGAGGCGGAGAGAGCAGCAGGGATGGGCTCCTACATCCCTCCAAAGCCTGTGGAGGTGAAGACACAGCCGCTGGAGGAGGACATGGACTGAGCAGCGCCTGCTTTCATTCATGGACTGATTGACTCTACAACAGAGGCATTACCAGTGTGCTTCTGTTACTGTGCTGTTGTCACAAATCCCAGAAGCTTTGCTTGGTGCTTTTTGTGACAAGTGATGCTCGTTCTTCAGCCAGCTGTGATGTGGTTGTTTAACTTTAAATCCTGAAGACGCGTCCTTATTCTATATGGTCTAATGCAACGTACAGCGATGTAAATACGGAGTACAGAAGAACTGTGGGGAGGATAATAAACTATAACTGGTTTCAGTTGGTTGCGTGTATGCAGCAGTATGACTTTTTCTTCTTCTTTTTAAATACTGGATGCTTTTCCTCATCTTTGGTATTGTATTCTGTTGACTTCATTATTCATTTGATTAAAAGACATAGAATATCTGATGAGAGCTCTGCAACCAGGTTTACGTTTCTGTGCCTCTAAAGCCTCTTAAAGAAGAAACAGTCTGAGAAAAATACATCGTTTTGGTTGAACTGAACATGTTAAAACTGTGGGAGCCACACATTGAATTGGCTTCACTGTCCAGGCCACAGTGGTCAATAACGGCAGAGAGGCTGTGCTGTAGTTGGACGCCTCGAGTTCATGCCGTCACCATCAGATTATCATTATATAATTATCTCTGAGCTTCTCTGTTTCATATAACTTCACCTCTCTGGGTTGCCCACTGTCCTCTCCCCTACGAGCTGTCTCCCAACATAAAAATGAATTAATCTATAAAAGTTCAGACAATTAATTAATGCAGTGAGGTGATTAAGTAGATGTACTCGTGTACGTCATGACACATTTGAAGCCACAACTACTACTTTATAATCCGCTCTGTGTTTTAATGACGGCTGTAGTCACTTTTCAGATGAAGATTTTACATGTTGACATCTAATCTTATGAAGGTGTTGAATGAGTTGTTCTGGATGAGGCTACCCAGCAGCATGTAGATGATACAAACCTGCACTTTAATCATTTATAAAGTCTGCTTACACGCTCACACGTGTAGTTGATGTACTGGACATTTCATTGATAGTTTGCGGTGGTTTTACTGCTTCTCCTGAAGTTTCTTCCACCACTGGTTGGATTGTAGACATGTTATTAAGATGTTCTAGAAGAATAGAGCAGAAACAAACTATGAACTCTGCTGGTAGATTTTAAAGCACAAGTCACAAAATAATAATAATAATTATATTGGCACCCCCTCTGGCAGGGAAACATGTAATTGAGGCTTGCTAGCAGACATTCTTTGGATGAACGAGGCAGCGCTGCCACTTTAAATGTGGCCACTGTGCCAGTGCGCCAAGCTAGACAGAACCTAAGATACAACGTCCGGCGATCACTTTCAAAATAAAGCTGCCGGCGGTGTCGTTGCCAGTTAATGTAAAGTAGCTGAGAGTAAATTAACCTTAGGGGATGAAACAAAGCCGTATTATATATAGTGTCGTTTATGGGGATGTTGAATTTAGCTCTTGGTTTCGCCGCCTACGGTTAACATTCAACCGTTCTGCAACTAAAATAGTCATCAAGGAGATCAGATCAATTGTACTTACACACACCCCAAAAAATGCTTATAAAAACTAACAACAACGGTTTAATATTCTTTCCTAACTTCTGCGAGTAACACACGCAGAGCTGAAGTACGTATTTAGAATTAGTCAAACATCTGTGCTTTTATTTTTACGCACAAACGCCCAACATCCGGTCTATCCTGCGTGTGACTTCCGCGCTTGACGCCGTTAACCTCATCCATATGGTTCCACATTAGATGTGGGAAATAAGAACTGTGCGCTGCTAGCTAACGCTTCACAGCTGTTGCCAGCGGGGGTAACGGCCGGAAAAGACGCGCGGTGGCCGGCTACGGGACCAACCGGACTGTCGGTAGGTTCTTCGCACTTTAAGGAGAAAGTTTACGCTGAAGGATTACTGCTAGTAGCCCCCTGTTTTCTTGGACATTATCCGACCATCATGCCCTCGTCTAAATAGCTGCGGTGGAGGTCGAGGATGGCCGCAGACGTGGATAAAAGAAGCCCCGAGGAAGAGAGCAAGATCTGGCCGCAGAACGGTGCCCGGACCCCGGGCTCCGGATCGCGGACCTGCAGGGGGCTGTGGACCCTGCTGGTGGTCTGCGCGGTCCCTCTCCTCGCTGTCGGGATCAAGTACTACCAAGATGCCCAGCTGCTCAGACGTCATGTAAGACCCACATCTGTAGTCAGGCTCGGTTCGGCAGTGAGCTCAACTTAGTGGCTCAGAAACTTTGCTCTGACCCTCTGGTGCATTCAGTGACCTTCCACTAGAGTAACATCAGAGTTGGGATTTACAGTTATTGTCTTCAGTAGTTATTTTCCAGACATCAGTCGCCTTCCTGCAAGTTTTTTTTCCACCTCATGGGGTTTTATTAGAGGGCTGGGTCTTTCTCACAGCTGGTAAAACTCAAGCCCTTGTTCAAATCCTCACTTGTTTGCCTCCAGAGGGTCTCCAAGTTGTTCTCCCTCCCCCTCTGCCCCTCCATTGTGCAGGCCCTGATAGGCACGCATCAGCCTGAGTGCTAAGTCCTCTGACTGAGAGGCAGGAATCTGTAGCCTCTGGGCTGATCCTCACTGCTGATCCTGACTTCCTGCTCAGACACCAAAGTGCTGCGATATGCTTTAAAAACACATCGTACCTGCAGCAGCGTTTGTGCCGTCCTGGTTCAGACTCTGAAGGGTTTGTGGTTGACGTGATGTGAGGCTCTCTGTCCCAGATTTGATGCATTCAAAGTCCCTGAAGCGTGTGGAATGAAAGCAGCATCAGTCTGTGTGTTTTCTACAGGAGGAGAGCGTCAGGACTCTGGGCGCCGAGGGCCTTTTCCTCTTCTCCTCCCTGGACACCGACCGTGACCTCTATCTCAGCCCGGAGGAGTTCAAGCCCATCGCAGAGAAGCTCACAGGTGCGTCGTGTCGTACTTCTTCCTGCTGTTCTCATTGGTTGCCGTGTGACCCCTCGCTGACTGCGATTGTAATGACTTCCTGACAGGAATCACAGCCCCGGTGGACTTGGAGGAGGAGGTGATCCACGACCCCAACGGGGAGACTCTGACCTTGGAGGCCAGAATGCAGCCTCTGCTGCTCGACTCCATGACGAAGAGCAAGGACGGGTTCCTGGGGGTGAGAGAGCTTCAGACTCTACGTGGTTCCTTTATAACGCAGGTTTATTCTCCTTTTGTTTCTGTACAGGCTCAGCAGAGGACTGCTGGGAGTAAATCACACCAACTATACTTTACAGTTTATCAAGGGTTTTAAATACAGGCTGAGCAGATAAACCATCACAGCATAAACTCCACATACTCTGAGTCAATGTGGTTGTTCTTGGTCAATGTGGTGCTTCATGTTCTGTGACTCTCTGTGAATGCACCTCATTCAAACTCTGAAACACTGATCTCACGTCTCTGCTGGTGGTTTTTCCTCCTCCAGGTTTCTCACAGCTCTCTGAGTGGCCTGCGCTCTTGGAAGAGCCCAGCAGTGCCTTCTTCGTCGTTCTCTGCCGGCCAGTTCAGGGTGTTCCTGCCCCCAAAGAACAAGGTGGAGGTGGGAGACACGTGGTGGGTGATTCCCAGCGAGCTCAACATCTTCACCGGATACCTTCCCAACAACCGATACCACCCTCCCACACCGAAGGGCAAAGAGGTACCGGACTCATCCAGCCCGGTTTAGCTGCTGACTAGGTTTTGAGCTGTTTCTGATGCCGTGGTTCTCCTGCTGCAGGTTCTGATCCACTCCCTGTTGAGCATGTTCCACCCTCGTCCCTTCATCAAGTCCCGCTTCGCCCCGCAGGGCGCCGTCGCCTGCATTCGCGCCAGCAACGACTTTTACTACGACATCGTGTTCAGGTGAGTCAGACTTTAAAAACCCACAGAGCTGCTTTTTCATCTTTCAGCCCATCGACTACTAAATTATGCAGACGTTGCATTAGTGCTGACTGATGTGGAGAACATAGGAGGAATTTTAATTTTATGGTTCAGTCTGGCAGGCAGCCAGCAGGTCGATCAAGCCTCGTGTTCACCTCGTGTGTTAGTCCAGCGTCATGTCTTCATTGTGTTGTGCTGCCTGTTTATAAAAGTGTGACATGATTATGGGATGTTGGAGGAAAGTGTTTGTTAATGCAGGAAGCTGCCAAAGACACACTGTGGGTTTGTGTTTTCTCGTCACTGCAGCAGAGCTTCCTTCACTGTGAGAGTAACATGATGTACGCAGTGTAGAGCACTTTTAAAATGTTTGGTAATAACAAACCCCAATGCAGTGTTTGATCATCTGCTTTGTGAGTGTCAGCTGTAGTGTTAAGTATGGATGACTTTGACAGATGGAAGTTCCTGATCTGTGCTCAGGACCTTTGAGCTCCAGCCTCAGCAGCTCTTTCTCTTCTCGTCTGCAGGATTCATGCAGAGTTCCAGCTCAACGACGTCCCAGACTTTCCCTTCTGGTTCACTCCGGGCCAGTTCACCGGCAACGTTGTCCTCTCCAGAGACGCGTCCCACGTCCGCCACTTCCACCTCTACGTCCCCAGTGACAGGTAGACCGTCCTGCTGCATGCTTCCCCTCTCTGTACTGTGTGCAGGTTCTGCTCAGCGTGACCCGTCCTTCTGTGTTCAGGTCTCTGAACGTGGACATGGAGTGGCTCTACGGAGCCAGCGAGAGCAGCAACATGGAGGTGGACATCGGTTACCTGCCGCAGGTACAGCTGCAGTGACGCCGTTATATTTGTTCCTGTTCTTGTCGATGTGCAGCTACACAACGGGCCGTCGCTTAAGACAGAACAAATCCATCCAATGGGTTTTTGTTTCAGGCTTTTTCATCCTTAAATCTTTCTTCTTACTGTTTTTCTCACAACGTGCCCAAATATCAGACTGGTCTTAATCTAGTTTTAGTCTGTTTTTGCTCCTTCTTTCCTGCATTTTTAAAATTTGATGCAAATCTATGACAGCGTTTTGTTTGAAAGAGTCCTGCTGATAGAAGATTTGTTTGTTTCATTTCCATTTATTCACATTAAGCTCCTGTTTTTACTCCAATTTGTCCTTTAAATATTCAAATTATGTTTGATTGTGTTTACAGGCATTAAGTCATTTTTTCATTTTCATTTGAAGTTCATTTTCTAATGAGAGCGTGTGTTTGCAGTTGGAGCTGCAGTCCACCGGCCCGTCCACGCCGTCGGTCATCGTGGACGAGCAGGGCAACATCATCGACAGTCGGGACGGCAGCAGCGAACCGATCCAGTTCGTGTTCGAGGAGATCCACTGGACCTCAGAGATCAGTCAGCAAGAAGCCGCCCGCCGCCTGGAGGTCACCCTCTACCCTTTCAAGAAGGTGACGGCCTGTGATGAAGCGTGTTGCTCTCCACGCTGCTGGTCTGTCTGTGGTTCTGATTTATCGCTGTGCTCCTTCTCAGGTGTCCTACCTGCCCTTTTCAGAGGCTTTCGAGCGAGCCGAAGCAGAGAAGAAGCTCGTCCATTCCATCCTGCTTTGGGGAGCTTTAGATGATCAGTCCTGCTGAGGTGAGATCATTAACAATTAGCTAAATTCACACTATTGAATTCTGCGCTCTGAACTCTGAAGAGACGTTCAATAAATCCAGTTTCAGGCCGCCGGGTTTGGATCGGCCTGCAGACTACAGACACTTCAGACAGTTTAATTTGTTAAAGGATGAACACTGTCCTCCTCCTGCATGAGAAACGATGAATTCAAGAGTTAGAAAACGTGTTTCTGCTCATTTCAGACCTTTTCCTTTTAGACTACAGCCTGATTTTAACCAGAACAGGCCTGTGGTGTCTGATGTTAACATTTGATTTTTTAAACAGAACTTTATTTACCAATGAACAGAGAACTAAACAAACAACACGAACCATTTGACAGAAAACATGAGCTCAAAATGATGAATGTCTTTTGACAATTTTATATTCTATGTTAATTAAAAGATAAACAGTTTATCTAAAAAATAAAATCATAAAGGGGAAAAGAGAAGGAGCATCATTGTTGTAGTTTTATTGCTTTTCTTGATATTTATTTTATTTAATATTTTGATATGTTCTTAAATAGATAATTGAACCTTATTTGGTTTTACAGCCAGTCTACATTTGTGAATTAGAATCATTAAACTGATCAGGAATTCTTTATTTTGTGATCAAAGTAAGTTGTGACACTTTTACAATCAATTTTAGTTTTACACAACATATGAGTCTTAATTTGATTCTAACAATCAGCTGAACACGGACAGCGGAGACACAGACGACTGAAGGATTCGGTGTCTCATGTGAACATAACTGATGTAGAAGCTTCTGGATGAGATCAGGACTGAGGCTTTAAGGACTCGTCTCCAGTTTAGCTTCAGTTTGGATGAACTGCTCTTAAACATCTAACATTATTTCATTAGTGTCACTTCTAGTCGTGTACTGTGAGCGCTGTAGGTGATCATCTTCATCTCCTCGTCCTCCTCTCACCTCTGCAGGTTCGGGGCGAACTCTCCGGGAGACAGTCCTGGAAAGTTCGCCCGTCCTGGCGCTCCTCAACCAGAGCTTCATCAGCAGCTGGTCTCTGGTCAAAGAGCTGGAGAACATGCAGGTGATGTAGAGATCCACAGAAGCTCCACTGACTTTTCCTACAGCCATGTGTTCACGTTTCCTCTTTCACTCAGGCTGATGAGCAGAACCCTGCGTTGAGCGAAAAGGCCCGCCTGCACCTGGAGCAGTACAATTTCCCCGTGGAGATGATGGTGGCGCTGCCCAACGGAACCATTGTAAGGATTTCTGTCAGTGACGTCATGATGTGTAAGAATGTCAGGTTTAGTGTGAACTAGCAGCGGTTGGACGCTTTGGGTTCGCAGTAATTTAAGAGAGCTCAGGACCACGGGGATGCTGTAGGATTAAAAAAAACATGGCAGGTTCCACCGCTAACGATGTACACTGATGTAGAGAGAGATAGCTGCAGGCTGTAAATACAGAAGAAAGACAGGAGCAGCATCACCAGCTTGGCTAACATGAAGTTTTCTTGGTTATTAGTTGCACAGCCAGTCGTACTGTCGTCTTTACTGTATTTCTGAACAGTTAACTGTCTTCTGTAGTGAAATCAGTCCCAGTAAATTCTCCCACCCGCCTGGCTTTAGGTCCACCACATCAACGCCAACTTCTTCTTGGACCAAACGGCCATGAAGCCGGAGGAGGAAGCAGCAACCTTCAGCTTCTCCGGCGGCTTCGAGGACCCCTCCACATCCACTTACATCAGCTTCCTGAAAGAAGGGCTGGACCGAGCCCAGCAGTACCTCACACAGTAACATGTGTGTGTGTGTGTGGTGGAGCCTGAGCCGCTGAGGAAATGATAATCACTCCTCTGGGGAAGGATCCAAGATAAGGAAAACCCAACCAACAGTCATGTAGAGAAGCTTTTCTCTCCAGTGTTGGCAGCTGAGGAACGTTTTGCCTTCTGCCCTCTTTGCTACTATTTATTTGGACGTCTCTCTTGGTCAAGTTTTCTAACCAGTATTTGTATCGTGAGTAGGTCGTGTACATAACCCACAGGGAGGCTGTTCCTTCAGACATTATGCATATTTGAATGAAACACGAGGGCGTCGCACACGGAGCAGGAACACGTAGACCTTCTGCTTGTAGCTGCTGCTCAGCCTGTCGAGTCACTCCCGAGTGCTCGTGTCATTCCTACGACAAATCCCAAGTGCATCACAACACGGTCTAATATTCAGTACTCCTTTTTTCTTTATGTTGTGGTGTTGCATGTGCAATATTTTACGACCGGGTGTGTTTTCCTGCAGCCCACTTGGACCCAGAGTCGGTCCGGAGCCGCCGTTGCCTCCAGTTCAGCTTCAGCAGTTAGTGAAGACGTCGCCTGAAAGCTCTGGCCGAGCCGGGCGGCGCCTGATGTTCTCGCTGAGGCCGCTGGAGGGAAACGCCCTCCTCTGACTCACGGGCTGCAGGAACCACCAGACCGGACCGCGGCACATAAAACCATTAGTTCAGTTGTTTTCTTAGAGCTCCAGTTTGAAACCAAATGTTGAAATATTTTGCTTTTTTTTTTCTGTTCAGAGGAAGATGTGACACCAAAGAGCTTTTTTCTTTTTTAAATATATATAAACGCAGATAAAGTCCACATACGGCTTTTCCATGTTGCTCATATTTAAGTAATCAGTGGAACAAAATGGTTTTATCTTTGCTAAATACTATTATTATCTCTCAGGCTCCAGGTAAAAGTCATCTGTTTGGTCTTCAACAAGAGGAAATCTTTGTTTGAACCGATGTGGGCCTGCAGACCATCTCCCACCTCACACTTCATTCTCCTCTTTTCCAGTCAGAAGGAGAAAAATGTGTTTAAGTTCTAATTTCAGTTTTCAGTCTGAAACACAAGAACCCAGGGATCCAGAAAACTCACCTGAATCGGTCACTCTTAAGTTTTGCTCTTTCAGGTCCACGTGGAGCCTTCACAGGAGGAACACTGTTATTCTGTAACCTGCCAGTGCCATTTTTTCACAAAGTGAAATAAAACTTGTTTTGTTTTTTAAACCAGAATCCTGTCGTTCTTGGTTTCACGCAGCAAGAATCAAATATGCAAAAGTTTAAATTCACATTGTGCTGATTTTTATTAACTAATCTACAATCCTGTACAACGTAAGCAAAGTAAGAGCGAGTTCTAGATACAGCTGGACGACAAAACGGCACGAAGTTCACCTCCAGTGACCACAGGGACGCAGGAGTCGGGACTGGACATGAACGGAGATGAACTTCTAGTGTTCAGTTTTCATTTATGCAATCTGTCGGATCAAAATGATGAGTGGTTAAGAAAGGAGGAGAGTACCTGCCACACTGTACACGTGCAGTTTAGAAATCTGTTCATAATAAGACCTACGTGTGCTTCAACGTCCAGCATTAACAGAGCAGATAGGTGGAAGCGGGGACATGCAGTACCTACAAAGACACGTGTGAAGCTGTCCTCACATGATGGGACATCATGAGTTCGCTGATTCACATCCAGACAATAGTGCAGTCTCTGAGACTCGTAACCGACTCCATTCAAAAATGAGGATTCAGAGAATCCAGTTTCATAACAGTTCAGCTCCACTCACTCAGCAGAACTCAGCCGGGCTGCCAAAGCCACAGGAATGAGTCAAGCATGAAGCAGTCAGGACCCACACTGGGACAGCGAGCTGCTTAAGATTAGCCTTTTTCAGTTCACTGCAGTTCGCTAAAACCCACAGCACTTAATCGCACGGATAAATCCAGCAGTTTGTTTCTTTATATGGATGTTTTCATGAGATGACGGAGCAGCTGAGAGTCTTTTGCTCGGTGATAAACGCTGTCTTGATTAAAGCCGATGAGCAGAGACGTGGTCCGGTCCCTCAGCTGAACGTCCACACCTCCAGCTCCATGACTCGGAAGTCGTCGGTTTCTGAGAGGCAGCAGTTGTTGAAGGTGTAGCAGGGGCTGCTGCGGCCCAGGTACAGGTTCTCATCCACCCACAGGCCGAAGTGGCCGCTGAGGGCAAAAGACAGAGACGGCGGTCAGGGAGAGGAAATGGAGCCTTTTTCAGCTCGGTTAGAAAAGAACATCCATCATCTCTCTTTTTTTACACAACATGAGAATAAATCATGCAAGAGAGGAAATAAAAAATGCATTACCTGCCTCCACCGATAGCGAAGCAGTCCAAGTCTCCTTTAATGAAGAAGGAGTTCTCTCCAGTCCATCGGAAACACTGCAGAGACACAATCACACACAGTCACCACAGAACCATCAGAGCCCATTCCTGTGTTCGTACCATTAACTCTCACATGTAAAGAAGCATCACTCATACTGTGGTTGTGGGACGGTGTGGCGTTAATATAACTGATTCTCACTTTGCACAACATGCAGCATTCACAGGCTGTAGGAGACATTTAACGCAGAGCTAACACGGCAACAAGCTCAGACTTGCCGACCTTGAAGCGAGGATGCAGCATGAATAGAAAGGTTTCTCCGGTGCCGTAGAACGTCTCGCTGGGCCTCAGCGGGTGGGAGAGGAAGGCCCCGAATACCTGATGAGGGAAAGCCGCGGCACCAAAACGGCAATTAAAAAACTAAAAGACTGCAGCATGAAACCCATAATTAATATCTGAGCTGACAAACTGTGTCTTTACCTCGTCCAGTGCGTCTTTGATGACGATGAGCGCCGGAGAGTCGGTGGTGCTGAGTTTTCTGTAGAGGGACTTGAGGCTGGCGCCGTGACGGGACGTGCTGTAGGCCAGCTGCCATGTGTGGCCGACGGTCCGGGGAGGAAGCTCCTTACACAGCTGGAGGAAGGAGGAGAGAATTAAAGAAGATAAAGGACATCGAATGCAGGTTACAGACTGTAGAGCCCATCTGTGTGTACATCAGAAATACTCCAGAACTATGAAGTTAACATAAAAAATGTACTTCTGTCTAAATTAAATAGAAGCTGCAGCACACAGACTACTTCTGATGTGGACATTTCCATCCATCATCTCTACACCTTCATCCTCACTGGGGTTATGGGGGGCGGAGCCTATCCCAGCTGACTCAGGGTGAAGGCAGGTTCACCTGGACAGGTAACCAGTCTATCACAGGGCTGCACTTAGAGACAGACAACCAAGCACACTCACATTCACACCTACGGACAATTTACAATCACCAATTAACCTCAGCATGTTTCTGGACTGTGGGAGGAAGCCGGAGAACCCGGAGAGAACCCACGCTGCACGGGGAGAACATAGAGACGCGAACCGACGACCTTCTAGCTGCAAGGCGACGGTGCTACCAACTGCACCACCTTGCAGCTCTAAAAAATGCTCCAGAACTACAAAGTTAACATGAAAAATGTGCTTATTTCTAAATTAAACAGAGGCTGCAGCACACAGACAGCTTCTGATGTGGAAATGTGATGTTAAATATTGACTGGCAGCACCTCCTGGCTGTTGAGCGTGTTGGTATATGATTGAATGCGAGGAGCAGAGCAGGTGATAATGAATAATGTCTGACTTACTTCTCTGACATGTGAGGCCTCCAAAATGTGGCTGCTCTCAACAATACTACTGAGTCCTTCAGGATCCCGGTCGACCACCAGGGTCGGCTTCTCTCTGCTCTCTTCCATCAGCACCATCTGCAAAATAAAAGAAAAACACATTTACAAACCGAGAGCATGAAGAAGCAGGAGAACTCTCTCCTGTCCTCGTCAGGGCTCAAGCGTTTGGCTCTGCTGCATCTCCAGGCAGGTGTGTCCACAAACGAGCGCACCTGTTGCTCTCTCTGCCGTCTGACGCTCCGACTCACCTCCCAGTCATCTCCGGAGCCGCGGTGCCTCTGGGACAGCTCCTCTTCATCCTCCTCCTCCTCCTCCTCCTCTTTGTCCTCGATGAGTACAAACTCCTCTTCGTCACGGTCGGCCTCCCCGTCCTCCTCCTCCCCTCCCTCCAGTATGCACAGGTCGGGCCGGCAGTGCTTCAAGTAGGCGTACAGCTCGTCGGCGCTGCAGCGGGAGAAGAATGCAGTGAGAGATGTCGTAATGACAAACAGCGCTTACAGCTGTGTCAACACGGTGGCAAACGAGAAACCTGCACCAGCGTTTGCATTATCAATGCTCAGTTCTGCCTTTGACAGCGTGGTGCGCTCATTAAGGGAAGGAAAAGTTTAGAAGCTTCTTGAACTTCAATGGTTTGAAGTTTTCTTTTGGAAAAACGGTGACTTTAGAAGAGCTGAAGAGTCGCCTGCTTCAAACAGAAGTCACCGTTTACTGGAGCAAAAGTGGCTCAAAAGCAAAACTCCTGCATTTAAATTAGATTCTAATCACACATCAGACGTGTCACTGCATCACTGATCATCATTATTAAAGTATTAATATGTCATCAAGGCAGCTCCTTTATAGAGAACTAGTTATTTAAATATAAAGAACGCTCTTTCTAAATAAACTGAACAGCAACCAGCAGCTGACTTGAAAGTACAAAGTCTAAACCAGCATGAAATATTCATGCACGATACTCAAATATTGAGTATTTACATGAAACTGCATTGGAGTACACCAGTAAACAGTCGTTGTTTGGCCCTCTCACGGCTTTCATTAATCTGTAACCGGCTGAATTCTTTTGTGTTCTAACTGAGGTCCACGTGTCCGTCGTGTTTACTCAGAGACGACAAACAAGTCAACATTTAACTGAAGAGACCAGTTTTAGCGTCGTGCTAATGAGCTGCTCCAGTGGATGTCGGGTCTTTTATCTGTTTGCTGTACTTTCAGATCTCTGAACATTTCAAGGGAGGCAATAGATGATTTTCTTTTTTTTAATATGTGACTTTAATGCACCGTTCACACGAGTTAATTTAACAAAGTGGGACTTTAATGTCGTTGTTATGCAAAAATAAGTCGACGGCCTGCATGAAACGGGCCCGTTCAGCACCGCGACACCAAATAAACAGTCGTGTGACGCCTTCTGTGGATCTGGAAGTTAATTTAGAGAATAATGAGCCAGAAATTATAATCAAGTGTTCGTCTAAGCGGGACGGTTTCTCTGTGTGTTTATTTAATAGATGAAATACACGATCACAGAGGCTAAAATATAACGATGGTGATTATTTAGAGGAGTGAACTAATAAATATCTGCGTTTAAGAAAAGGTCGTATGGGTCATTTGGATCCTGTGACTCGGTGACTAGACGGTCAGCTTTGATCAGGTCTGTGAGCCACTCCGCCGCCCACGACACTCAGATCACAAGATGCACCGAAAACAAAGAGTCTGAAGGAAAAGAAACGCCTGCGAGGATGATCTCACACACAGGAGGTGAGAATCAGGTGATGATGAAACTTAGTGAAGACCTGTGGCTTATTTCTTAATGCTTCCTGTGACAACCAGCTCGGTTTGTTGTGGCTTACAGTGAATCTACAGGTGGACCGAAGATCAGCAACAATCTTAGTTTTCTCAGATGTGTTGCGATTATTTGGTGGGAGAGGAATTTGGGGAGCGTGGAAGTCAGATTAGAAGCTCACCACGGATGACATCATCAGTGTTACATTAGCTTGGTTTGAAGACTTCATTATAAACTCCATTTATTTGTTGGTACGAGTGAAGTTGGTGCTGATGTGCAGTGATCCATGAGCCATCCTCAGGTGGAAAGATCAAAACATATTTTATCCTGTGCTGCACATGAGTTTGTTCTCTGTTTCTTTAAAGCCCTTTAACAGGACCTCCTTTCTCTGCCGTCAGCTACCTTTCTTGAGACAGGGTGAGCCAGGCGTCCCTCCTGGTCGAGGTCTTAGCCGAGCCCAGCTGCAGACCTCCAGCAGACTTCTTCTTCCCTGCAGACGGCTGAACCCGCAGCCGCACAAACATCAGAGTCCCGGGACTACCTGCTGACGACCGGCGAGGAACTATGAAACGCACAAAGGTCGACTCACAGTAAAGAAAATGTAAACAAGAAAGAAACGCATCTCCCAGACAGACACGGCTCATACCTGCAGTCTGACTCTTCACAGAGGACTTCTCTGTGTCTCCAGCGTGCAGCAGGTCGATGTTCACTTTGCTCGCCGCCTCTTGACCTCCACAGCAGAAGGTGGCGGCGCTGCTCAGTACTGCCACCCCCAGGCCGCCCACAGACGCCTCCGACAGCACCTCCAGAGGGCTGCCGTCCAGCTCCTTTTCCACCTCGGCCATGTCTCTGCTCTCCGGCTCCTCGTCTTCAGGAGCCTCCTTGGTCAGGCTCAGAGCCAGACTGGATAAATCCGACGGAGCCGCAGACACCAGAGCTGGAACCGACTCCCCCTTGTGGTTTGGGAGGCCGCCTGCTCGCCCTTTGGCAGCTTTCAACTTTTGGAAAATTTTCTTTCCTTTTCTCCTACAATTACAAGAAAAAAAAACCCCCAACATGTTTACTGCATTTCATGTGATGTGAGTGTGGTGTGGTGAGAGCGAATCGCTGCTGACCTCTGCTGGGAGGTGTTGAAGTGAACATGGGAGATGTCGGAGAAGAAGGAGACGGACGCCAGATTGTCTACGGAGAACGACAGCAGGTATTCTTCACAGCCGTGTTCCTTCACCAGAGGATGCGTCTTACACGGGTCGAAGAAGATCTTATTGGACGTCACCAGCAGGATGCCTGAAACCACGCCCTGAGAGAAAACACTGCTATCAGGGTACAAACGTCCACAAAACTGAGATCAGACGAGTTCTAGAGTCCTGTGACATGCTTCCCCTCCCTCCTGCTGATCTGCCTGATCTCCCTCGGTATCTGCCTCCTCCCAACAGGTGTGGCTGCTCAGTGATTACCTGTAAAGGGGAGGGAACTTTTGGTAGGGACTGTGTGACCTTATGTTGGTATTTTCAGTTTTTTTTTCTTTTCCTGGTGGGTCCAGTAGTTTAGTTTTCGTGGCTTTATTGCTATTATTGAGGATTTGGCCTGTTTATGTTAGGGTTGGGCTGCACGGTGGCTCGGTGGTTAGCACCGTTAGCGCCTCACAGCTAGAAGGTCGCCGGTTGGCGTCCCGGTGAGGACACCCGGGATCTTCCTGCGTGGAGTCTCCATGTTCTCCCCGTGCAGCGTGGGTTCTCTCCGGGTTCTCCGGCTTCCTCCCACAGTCCAGAAACATGCTGAGGTTAATTGGTGATTGTAAATTGTCCGTAGGTGTGAATGTGAGTGTGCTTGGTTGTCTGTCTCTAAGTGTAGCCCTGTGATAGACTGGTTACCTGTCCAGGTGAACCTGCCTTCACCCTGAGTCAGCTGGGATAGACTCCGCCCCCCATGACCCTAGTGAGGATGAAGGTGTAGAGATGATGGATGGATGTTCAGGTTGAGGGGAGAACCCTGCTCCGATGGCCCCATGTGGGCTAGATGGTGGTGGCTCTCATTGTTCTGTTCTTTTCGACTGGCCCACCAGTACTTGGTTAGTTTGGGAGGGGTTTTATTGAGCTAATGTTTTTCTAGATTCTCTGTCTTTAAATCGGTCACATTTCCTGTCTACCTTTTTTCTTTGCAGCCTATTTAATTGTGTTTGGTCTCTTTGGTTCGGGCTGGTTCAGGGGATGGTGACTGTCCCACCTTGCGGTCGGTGATGTAGCGGCAGAACAGCTTGAGGTACGGCGTGGCCTCCGGTCCTTCCCCCTGACAGCACTCCGGCGGCAGAGCCAACAAGCAGAGCTGTCCGTCGGGCATCGGCACCGCCTCCACATCCTGGCACAGGACAAAAACCTGCTGGTTACAGCTCGTCAACAGTTGCTTCGTTTTATTTAGTTTTTATGGTAGTAAACCAGATAGATTTGGAGTTTTATCTGTTGGTCAGACAACACATTTAAATCAGTCAGCTCAGGTTGTTGGACATGGAGATGGGCGTTTCCTTTTACTGCTTTACAACGTTTTATGGAGGTTTCAGCCTGAGATAAAACTGCAATATACAAATCAAGAAAGAATTCCAGAAACGTAATAACTTCTTCTTTCTGTTCTCACAGATCTCCACTTATATGTGCAGGAAAGATTTAAATTAAAGTCAAACGTGTGAGTTTGATTATTATTCACAGGATTTCTGGCCAAACACAAAGCACAGATTTTTACCCTGGATTCGTTAAACCGAAGCTGCTCTCCTTCCTGTAAAGTTTTGTTGCTTGTTTCCATAGCAACGCGTTCTGTTCGTCTGATTCACTTCCAAATCTCACGTTTTTCTCACCGCGGCTAATAACCGTCTAATAACTGGATCCCATTAAGATGAAGGGCCAGCAGAGTGATAGCATCAGCTTTATTACCACAACATTATCTCCTTCAGCTTCTTTTCATGCAATTTATTGTTTAATTGGCTGTGAAGCACCTGCTCGAATGCGCCGCTACGGATCCCGAGGCTTCCGATTCCTTAATCAGATAGAAGTTAAAGTGCCAGAGTTTCAAAATGCTCCGTTACTAATCACAGCTCTGCAATGAACGTCTGACTGAAAGTACAGAAGTACTGTCAGCAATACAGCCGAAGAGTCGACGTAAAAGCACTCATTCTGCAGGAAAACGTCCCCTCAGAGTGATAGATGACTACCGACAAGGCTACGGATTATTAGTACGATATATATTCAGTATTAATAATGAGGAAGGAGACATATTCAACATGCTTGTTCGACCGTGAAGATAAAAAAAAATAATGCGTTTTAGTGACTGAAGGTAAACTGAAACTCACTCCGGCTTTCAGGTTAAATCTCAAGGCTCATGTTTTATCCAGATCAGACCTTAAATAAATTAAATAAAGAATCCATAACTGGATTCTCTCCAACATGGCCCAACGTTTACTCAATACAACAGGTTCTGCTGCACATTCGGGCTGTTTTACGGAGAGAAATCGGTCTCAATACGGGAGGCGAATGCACGTAATCTACAAGTAAACACCAAGAAACCAAATTATTATTATCATTATTATTTAATCCATATGCATTCAGCTTTAAGTTTATGTATCGGGTCAGATTTTGAAAAGCTTCCTGCAAATAAGAACCTCTAAAGATATTTGAGAAGTTTAGAAGTTGTTGGACGTGTGTGTGATCAGATCAGGTTACATGAGTGTGTGTGTGCACCTGCAACTTTAACACTGTTGGATCCACAAACGTATGTTTAGGAGCTGGTGGAAACGTCTGAATGTTATCGTGTGTTTACTACATTCACTGACTCCTGCATTTGTGCCTGATGAAGGAGAAGCACCCAAACAGTACCAATAACACGATCCAGTCTGGAAGAGGAACAACAGTCTGTCCTCTGTTCTATAGATATCACATTATTATGTGTGAGAAGCAGCTTTAACAGTGTTTTTAGAATTAGTTCGCTGAGTCGACTGGTTTCTGAGGAGTCATGAGATCATACAACAAGTCATCAGAAAACTAACATGGCAGATGAAAACACAAGCTCTGCTACACTAATAATCATGTATTTAAGCTTTTTTCTAATATCTGACTTGAACTATTTGAACTATTGATGTGAAATAATGGAACAGTTTGACCTCTAAACATAAAAGAAACCCTCAGAGGAGACGTCTGCAGCTACACACACTGTTTATTCTATTGTTCTAATTTGTCAGAAGTTGAAATGGTTATAAAACCCTGGACTAACGTTAATGATGCGTTCCTTCAGCTCATCCGATGTTTTATGTACAATCTAATTAAAAACGGCCACCTGAGGCCTATTGCTCTGTTTAATTTAGTGATTTTACTGATTGTTAATGTTGTTTCTTTTAACAGATTTCTGTCTGTACGGTGTCCCTGAGTGCAGAGCTAGCTCTCAATCTCAACATGAACATGATGAGGTAACGACAAAATAGGTGAAATATTTACTTGATTTTGAGTCTAAAGTATAAAACTGCTCAAAAAGACTCAACAGATCAGATCGGTCCATGACGATGGGTTATCTCCACCACTGCTCCTAAACACAACAACATTCATGCCTTCTAACACACAGCCACAATGTTCTTCAGCTTACCAGCAGTTTGTCGTACTCTGCCTCCGGTGAGGGCGACTGAGGCTGAGCAGCGAGCGTATCCGAACCGTCCTGATCTGCTTCCGCCTCTGGCTTCCTTTTAGGATCAGAGTCGGAGTCCACCTCTGGGTGAGACGATCCTTGTCCAGTGGAAGTGTTTTTCCCCTTCGGCACGACCAGCTGCTTCAGAGTGGAAGCCATGATAAGAATAGCTGTGACATTGACATGGACACAGAGTGCAGCCCAGTGACAGGAGGGATCACTTCCTCTTTCTACAGGCTGCACTTCCTCACCTCACTCTGTTTGTAGTCACATCTTGGCTCCACAACACATGAGGGTTGTGGATCAGCAGTTGGACAGTTTTACAGCCACAAAACACCAATCAGTGAGTAAAGAGCCTGATCCTGCTCGTGACAAGAGCTTTTGGTGAGAATAGGTTCAAGGTGGAGCAAAAAGAAAAAACCTTCAGCTGAACTCACGCAGAGGGGAGAACTTGTTTTGCATTGCAAATCAGCAGCAGCAGCTGCTGCACCATTTCCATCTTTATACTCTGACAATCAACACGCCAACTGTGTGAGTCACATGTCAGGAGCTGTCATGTGCTGCTTACACTCTTACCTCTCTGGGGATGAGGGCAGCAGACGAGGAGGAGGGCGGCTGTGTGGAGGTGTGGGAAGGACGGTGGCCCATTTTGCTCTCCTCCGCCGAGGATCCAGCGACACTGTTGAACTTAGATGAGACGCTGAACACCGTGTCTCCGGGGAGACCCTGTAGGACAAACACAAACAAAAAAAACCATCAAAACCGTCTTGATCAGCGTGTTTAGATCTGATCACAACGTTTTCTGTGCATAAGACAAGATATCATCCATCCATCATCTCTACACCTTCATCCTCACCAGGGTCATGGGGGGCGGAGCCTATCCCAGCTGACTCAGGGTGAAGGCAGGTTCACCTGGACAGGTAACCAGTCTATCACAGGGCTACACTTAGAGACAGACAACCAAGCACACTCACATTCACACCTACGGACAATTTACAATCACCAATTAACCTCAGCATGTTTCTGGACTGTGGGAGGAAGCCGGAGAACCCGGAGAGAACCCACGCTGCACGGGGAGAACATGGAGACTCCACGCAGGAAGATCCCGGGTGTCCTCACCGGGACGCCAACCGGCGACCTTCTAGCTGTGAGGCGACGGTGCTAACCACTGAGACACCTGCAGCCCCAGATATCGTGCATCCATCTTCAAAACCATCACTCCACCAACATCCTCTAAGTCATGCAAAAGGGAACTATTTTCCTTTTTTGTGTAGAAAAGCAGTTTAACATAGTTTAATAAACACCCTCTGCTTCCATCAGGTCAAACATTTAGGACTCTGATGAGATCTGATGTGAACAAAATGTCTGATTGTTGAGATCATCACGCTGACACTGTGGGCGTCGAGCATCACAACTGTCATCCACTGACAGATGGATCCATTGACCCAAATTAGATTACTGCCGCCCAACAGATTATGCGACCACAGAGAGCCGCCGTGCTTCTGAGTGTGTGGGAGTGAGCCTGTGGATGTGTCTTAGGTCATTTTCAACATCACTCTGAAGGACAGCCCTCCAAATATTAGAAGATGATTCAACAGCAACACAAAATATGAGTTTGTCGTTTCAAATTCTGCATCACGACAGATGTGACGCCGTTTAACAGCACATCTGATTTTAACATTAAAACAAGAGATGCTGATAGTGTAAGAAGAAGAAAATAAGACTAAAGTAAGTTAAAAAATATCATAAACGAGGATTATAGTGTGAATAAGAGCTCTCAATAAGCACTGACGCCTCCTCCAGATGTAAGATAACAGCCCTGTATCACAGCAGGCAGAAAATCAACACTTCCTTAACTCAGAATTAAAAGCTTAGTGATAAAAGTAACAGCCAAGCTGACAAATACCTTAAAATAAATGTCTGGCAATACATTCCTCCTGGTGTATTTGTTGCAGAAGCTCTTAAACAGGCTCTGCTTCCCCATAGCGTCCGCTCTGACACTCAGCTCTCCGCTGAACCTTGGACGTTCTTTATCGAATTCACTCAAGACCATAAATTATGTAACCAATTATCAGCTGCTAAGTGCCTCCTCTGGCGTACCCCATCTCATGTTACATAAATGCAGCAATAAATCCACATCTGGCAGCCTCTCTCTCTCTTACCTGTCCCCACAGCTGGACTCCTCACTGCCACAACAAGTCAAATAAAGTCTGTAGAGTCAAAAAGAAAAACCCACATGTGACTCACCCTGCTGCCTGCGCTGTCATCTGACGCTGCACCCACATGCTCTTTTGTCACTACGGCATTGTTTAGATCCCACGAAGTCCCTGTGAGGAGAAACAAACACATGACAGAGCACCGTGAGCACAGCGGAGGTATGAGGAAGCAGCACCTTGACTTCCTTACAGGATTACTGCACAGCTCACAGCATTCCCGTCTGCATGGAAACGACTTCATGCAAATTGCAAAGAGGCTCCGAATTATAAAATGTGAGTTCAAGCACCGTTTCGCTTCCACATGATAAAAACAGCCTGAGGACATCAAACACGGCACCTTGCAGGTAGTACTGCCGCAGCTTGGGGTTCCTGATGTGGGGGATGTGGTTGAGAGGCCGACCCACCACGGGCTGGCGCTGGCTGCCGGCCTCCTGCATGGCCCGGGCGTGAGGCTGGGACTCCCAGGGCCGCTTGGCGAACTGCGGAGGCTGAGTGACGCCGGCAGGCAGCTTGGATCCCAACCTGAGAGACGGATTTTTACACCATTATATTACTGCTGTGCATCATTTAAACAGGCTTCATATGAACACATAAGAGTCCCTCCCTGTAGAGCCTTAGGTTCTACACTTCCTTGGAGCATATGTACGTTTTCTCTAACCCTCAGAAAGTCCTCAGCGGACACATCTGACAGCAGCGTTCGTTATAATCTGGAGTTGTGTGTCTCTGTTTTAATCCACTAACTCATGAGAACAATAACAGGCCCTTTGATCCACAGCGAACAAAGAACTATTGATTGGTGCAGCTTTACAAATCAGCAAAAATCCACTTAATACTAGAACACACACGGTGTTGTAATTATTGTTTTGGAGCAGTAAAATCAATACCTACAAATACAACAAGACAAATCAGAATATGAACGCCTGCTGGAGGCCGACGGTTCGTCTGGTGACAGTCTGAGGTTATGTCTGAATCTGTGGCAGAGAATTAACAACTGAATATTTGTTTGACCTCATTAATCCAGTTAAGTTTGACTCTAAAAAACAAAAAGGATCTTAAATGCTTCATTGAAATCACATGATGGCAGCTTCATAGGATTAATTCAGTGACTGTGAAGCAGCTGCTGGGTTTGTTGACACAGTCTGAAGTTTAAATGGATAGATAGAAAGATATGGAGCTAATTCAGTTCATTCAATGAACATATACGAGATAATCCATTAATTATCACAGACGGCAGAGAAAAGCAGCAAATGCACACATTTCAAAAGCTGGGATTTTTTCAGTAATCGAGACGGTTTCGAATTAATTTTCTGTCGATCCAATAATCTTTTCAGTTTGACAATAAAATAATTCTGGTCTAAACATCCACTTCTTGACTTTCTGCAGCAGCACAGTGTTCATTCAGACTTCCTACAATAATCCTGATTATTTTTATTTCATCCAAATGCCAAGAATCCACACTCAGTTAGAAGTGTGGATTCCCCCTTTAGCAGCAGGACTTTGTTGTTTAGAGTATTTAGTAACAGAACAGAGCCGCGCTCAGTCTGATGCCAGTTATTTATAGGGGAGTAGGAGTCGTCTGTGCAGCGCCTGTTCCTGGCGAGATGCTGCTGCTCTCACCCACACGAGTCCGTCAGTGACAGTCCACGGAACCAGCTGACGGAAGTGTGCATTTACACTGATTCTAAATCATCCTCTGATCAAAGACTCGATTGCAGCGAGCTTAAATCTGATCACATGTCTGCTTTCTCTCCAGTAATCCACACATTTCCAGGCCTGACCTGGTCTTCACGTTGCCAAAGTAGCTGGTCCTGGTCTTGTCCCTCTTGGGCTCGTGGTCCATGGCTCCTAAAGTCTCGGGCCTCCTCACGGACTGAGCCATGTTGGTGTTTTTTCTCCTTGTTAGTCTGAGGCTGGCAGCGGGGGCAGATGCAGAGGGACGAGGGGCTCAGCTGGCATCCTTCCTCCTCCTTTTATTCCCCATGCCTACCTCTCGGCCCAGTTACAGCACCTACACAGGACGGCAAGCAAGTCATACAACGTGGGCTGATTTCACAAGCATCCACAGAGAGGAGGAGAGCCTGATGCACCTGCAGACACATGACCCTGTGAGGAAGTGAGCCAGACACTCAGCAGGATAATGGACTGACATCAACCAGAACCATCAGAGTGTAAAAGTTGTCAACAGGAGCTTGTGGCAAAGGGCTGCTGACCAGGTTTGGGTCATTCTGCACTTGTGTGGCTCCAGATTTCCCATTTCTGTAATAATGTTAATAGAATATCACTAATTATGCATCAGATGCTGTATTTCTGGGCTCTTGGCAGCACACAGCTGTGTTTAGACATCATGGCACAGGAATGCATGACAGCTACAGGGTGCAGAAGCCTGATTCCTGCAGCCCTTCACATCCCTGTGGGGGGGTGGTGGCGATTTGTCTGTCATGTCTGAATTAGCAGCACAACAGGGTTAGCTTAGCTCTGTCTAGGAAACATTGCTCAGTCACACGGCAAAGAAAAGAGAAGATAACAATCTGCCTCCTGAGGATGACGAGAGGATGCAGTTGGTGGAGGAAGTGAGCGTTTCAGACGACATCTCAGAATGATCGAGACACAGCAGAGAAATAATTGCATCAGCAGCAGCAGCAGCAGCAGATGAGGCGGAGATGGAGGCTGACAGCAGCGGCAGGTAAACAGAGGCACTGACCTGCGCGTTATCCAGGGATGCAGACGGGTGTCGGTCAGAGGAGCGGCTCTTCATATTGCAGTGTTATGATATCACTGCAGACAACACGAACAAGTTCAGTGTTGACGCTCCGCCCTGCGTCCGAAGAGCCGCCGAGCAGATCCGCAGATACGCGACGAGATGGTTCCCCTCCGGCGGCCGGCGAAGTGGCAGGTAGTGGGGAGGGAGTCATCTTGTGTCCTCAGATGTATTCACACCATCCATTAAAGAAAAGACAAAACTCACAACAGGCACTCAGATTACTAGAAACTGGAAAAAGTAATAATGAATAAAAATGTGCTAAATTATAATTTAGTGAATTAAAGAAGGGTTTGGGTTACAAACAGCTGTCACTGAAATAAGGTGAAATTGACAAAAACTAATAATAAATAACATTTTAATGAAAATCATTACATTGCGTTTGGATTGTGGTTAAAAAAAAACAGACAAAAAAAACAAACAAACCGTGGGACCCTTGAACATATATCTAGTTGAACAACCCTTTGAGCCAATCACTGCCGTCAGATGTTTTCTGTAACTCTCAGTCAGACTTCTGCACCTGTTGACAGGTATTCTGGTATTCCAGGTATTCCACTGCTCATCAGCGAAGGCCTCTAATTTGTCTGGGACAGTTTATTATTATTTTTTTTTTTATTATTGTCAATCACAATTCAAAAGCAATGTCTTACGCCAATAAATTATAATTCTGGAAATTTTTATTTATTATTACTTTTTTCAATTTCTAGTAATTTGAGTGACTATTGTGAATTTTGTCTTTTCTTTAATGGATGTATACGGTGTATTTATGTTTATGAGCAGGTTCCCTGCACCTCTGGCCTCAACCAGAGGGAGGCGCTCTTGCACCGGTCGTGAGGCTCCAGCCAATCAGATCACAGGACAGGGAGGAACAGGTTTCCGGCCTAGCGAGCGACAACAGTCTGAAAGACGTAGAGGAGAAGCTGTCACTCGTGCAGACTTTAATGGTTTAGCTTTACGAGATTCGTCTTTAATCGACCGTAAGTTTCACTCTTGCACCGTCGTTTGAATTTTGTGACGATAAGCGAAACGGAATGTCGACAGTTGAGGGTCAACCGGGGGGCCGTTGTTGGTGCAGCTAAAGCTAACCTGTGTGTTTGATAGCCGTAGCTAAGCTAGCTACCGGCTAATGATAAACTGAGCTAAGCTATCCACGATTCAAGGCTCTAGAGGTTTTCTCTCTGGCGTTCATCATCGTCTTCCATCAATAGAAACGTCTATTAAAGCAGCACCTGTTAGTAATTAGCGGTTTCTAGTTAGCTAGCTATGTTAGCACCTAAGATTGCTGATCGTGTCCCGGTGAGATGACAAAGTTGCACCAAAGCTAGCTGGCTAACCAAGGCTGTTAGCTGCAGCTTTTTGTTGGTAGTAGGATCATTTGAAATTTTTGATTGTTTAATCAAACAAGTTTTTAAAAAACCGATGCGTGCTAATAAGTAAGCATGCATGTTGTATAGCGATGTGCATGTGCTTTTTGAAGGTATGGACCTGCATGCTGTAGGCAGTGTTTGTAGTGCACCTTTTTTTCCTTTTAGGTTTCATTTGTCAAAGAAAGCTTATTAATTCCAATGGGATTATGTGATTGCATTAAGGTTGGCCATATTATGATTTGGTAGTAGCTTCATGTCCAGTAATTCAGGACCACAATAATAATAATAATAGTAACTATACAAGTATGAATCTCAGTAAAACAAAACGACTAAAACATGTAACCTGACTGGTTTTAAAATGACAATCATGATTACTCAATCAAACAATCATTTGTGAAGCTTTGTGGTTTGTTGTGGTGGTGTAGTGACGGCGTGTTTGAGTTCTCCCCCTGCTTGTTTCTCTCAACAGATGATCTAACTAATCACTAATTTAAATCCCAAGAACTGGCAGTCGCACTAACATGGCATCCGTTTACTGAGCTGCTCCGTCTTCAGACGCTGCTAGCACCAAGCTTTGGTGTTCAGTTTTCCATCGAATGAGACTGAGCCCCCGCCACCATGGAAGCAGAGACAGTAAGTTTGCGCTCTAGCTGTTCATGGCATCACACTGTCACTGTTTTATCTGCTTTGCAAAGCAGGCAGCTTTACCTACAGGTTTGGATAGAAAACTCTTTTATATATATGTAGTACTTTTTGGAGAGCCTGGCAGTGTTTTATTGTGTTTTGAAGGAAGTAATCCCCATCTGGCAGAATAAACCTCATGGCTCCACCCGCAGCGTTGTGAGAAGAATAGGCTCCACTCTTCCCCTCAAACCTCCACAAAGAGCATGTTTCCAGGTACATATGATATCTTTCATCTAGTACTTATGTTTCTCTCTTATTGCCATTAAAACTGCTGCTATATACGCCGTTCACTTGTGTTCCTGTGCATTAGGAGCTACCAGGCCTGCCCACACTTCGGCCTATGGACGGCCCGATGGTTCCGACCCTGGCAGACATAGCTTGGATTGTTGCAGATGAGGAGGAGACGTACGCCAGAGTGAGGTAACTCTGCTGCTGAGCCTTGAGAGACAAACGTGAAGGTTGTGGAGTCGTGCCAAGTCGGTGCTCCTCACCTGCATTAAAGCGTTTTCCAATTTATTAGATGTGCACTTGCCACGTAACGGACTGCTGTGATGTCCCGTTTTTGTTTATTCTGTGTCAGAGAGGTGATGCTTCCACTCTGCAGTTATTTTATGGTGATGTTAAATTTATATTAACATCATAAACATGACAAAGGCAGGATTTATTGGACTGTATCAGACTGGAGAGCTGTGCCTAATAAACTGCTGGAGGTGTAGATTAGTGATTTAACACAATAAAAGCTGCTGTTTATTGATGCTAATTATTCACATCTCTGTTTTCAGGAGCGACTCGCGTCCCCTTAAACATGAATGGCGGCCTACGCCCCTCTTAGTGCTCCACAGGAACTCCTCTGTGCCCAACTTCCGCCGCGAGGGCAAAAGGATGGAGGGGCTACGGAAGCCCGGAGTGACCGCTCTGAACCGCACCACGGCCCTGCAGGACGAGCTCAGCAGACTCCGCGCACAGATCGCCAAGATCGTGGCGAGTGATTCTGGTAGGTGACCCACCAGTAAAGTACCGCCATGTCATCAGCTGTGAGTTAGATTTAATAAAACAATGTCGTGGCTGTGGATTGAAATAGGCACTGTGTTTATCCATCCTAAAGACTGCAGTTGGTGAAGCCGTTCGGGGCCGTGAGGATTTAGGATTGCTTTATTGAGCCCGTGTGAGTGGGTTTACCTCAGAGTTAGTGTCTTCATGTGACTGATTCTCCTGTTGCCAAGTCACTCGCCCTGATTCCCTTTAAGCTCTTTGGTGCTAAGATGTCTTGGCATCAGTTTGTAGGTCAGGAGCAAAAGATAATCTCTGTGGCAGGCACCCGCTGAACAATTGGACAGCGATGACATGAGAGCGTGTCGTCTGTTCACGTGTTTTCACATGAAGTGGGTTTCTCATATAATTACATACAACTCCTGAACTCGCTCATAGTTTGATAGATTTTCGTTGTGAGATGAGCTCTACGTGCTGCGTTATCTTTATGTCCACTGCTGTTCATATTTCAGTGTTTGGATTCGTGTTGCACTAAAAGATGCTCTCAAAAATATCCACAATGTGATGAAGTTTCTCTGCCTGTACGCTGCTCTCTGCTGCAGATCTGCAGTTTAATAGGTTTTATTTGATGCAGTGACGACAGCATGATCGTGTTTCTTATTGTGAAAACCTCAGCTGGCTGCTCTCCACAGCCTGGAGGTAGTGGATGAGAGATTAATGTTGGATAAAAGAGAAGTCAAACAGGTTAGACTTTTATTAGTGATGTGTGTTTTGTGCACTTGTTTTACAACTCCAGAACCATTTGATGTTTGAGGAAACACATCAGAGTGTAAAGTAGTAAATTGTTGTCTCATGAAATATTTAATCCTGCAGAGAAAAGCTGATTTACTGAACTATGGATAGAAACTTGGTCACAGCGCTCCGTTTACAGCCGAGCCACGATTGGAGACGTTCCACTGAAAACAACTTTAACAATAACGTCTGTAAGGCGGAGAGCGGCACCGACGACGGTGCTTAAAACGACTTTATTTGTCAGGATGTAGATTGAGAAAATAAAAATAAGGTTGTGTTAGAATAAAGTGGCGCCACTCGACTGGAGCGATCCGAAGCATGACCACGTTCAGCATCGTTGTGCTGGACCTTTTACCTCAAAGGTTTTATTTCAAACACTATTTCTTTTTTGTGAGTTCTTGTTTTGTCAGACGGTGTAAACGATGCAGCGTGCCACACGTTTAAATGATTGTTTATTGAGGAATGTGATGAACACTTTTAAATGTCTCTTTATGTTTAATGACCAACACCAACTTGAGCCCAGTTCTGCCTGTTTTGTGGATGTTTTCTTGCTTTTGGACTCGTCTAGATTTAAATTTCCTTCAACTAAAAGGGAAATGAGTCGTTAGGAACATCCTGAGATCCGACCTCTGGACGTCTGAGATGCTCAGCGGTCCAGTCTGTGTGGAACAACTCATTTCTCTACTTTTTTTTTCTCCTTTCAGGCTCCAACCCGCTGACCCCGGATCTGCTCTCCCCCGACGACACGAGCATGAGCTTTTCCATGGCGCCTTTTGAGACGGCGTCCTACCAGCCGGCTGCTGCTGCCGCCGCCTCCTTTGTCATCAGTGACGTGACGGAGGAAGAGGAGGAGGAGGAGGAGGAAGAAGAGGAGGTGGAGGAGGACGAGAAGGATGTGGTGTCCGTGGTGTCAGAGCTGGTCCCCGACCCTCTGCCGCCCGTCTCCATGACGGCGTCGGCCACCTTTGACCTGGACCGGCCCAGCATGGACTTCCGGGAGGCCGAGGAGGACACGGTGTCGCTGTCAAAGTCCACCAGTTTCGCCGACGTCATGGACATCCTGAAGGACATGAACCGGATGAAGATGAGCAAAGACAGGCAAGAGATGCTGGTGAACAGAAGGCCTCGAAGCTTCCTGTCTGTTTGCTCGCTGTAGTGACGCCTTGTGTTTTCTTTGTGTGGTTTCAGGTACAATCGAGGCTGTACGTCCCTCAGAGAGGAGGACTCGGCCTCGCTGATTTCAGAAGCTCTGAGGAAAAAGTTTGTCCTGAAGGAAGAAGATAGTGCCACTGTGAAGAGGAAGTAGCCCGAAACCACCGGAACCCGATCCTGCTGCTCCATGTAAGCAGGACAGAGTGTGTGCTCGTCAGAAGCCTGTTCTGTGTGATCAACCTTTGATGGCATGTGGGAGGTTTTTAGCGGCGAAACCTTTGTCTTAGTCTTTGTTTTTTCTCTTCCTTACTGTTTTTAGGCCTTTGCCTGTGGAATATGTACCCATGGATCCACACCCTTGCTCCTCAGACCCGAGGCGATAGCTGTCTGCCAGAGTTAATACAAAAACCCAAACACTTGATCTCAATGTGAACTTGGCGGTGCTGGAGAGAGGAACAGCCGACTCTGGGCGACAATAATCAGTTCAAGCACCGCATCGCGTTTTACATTCAGCGTACTTCTCCCTAAAAAAATGCTTTTATGTTTATTTCAATAAGAGACTCGGCCGACTCCGGTGACGACGGGTCTCACGTAAATCTGGACTGTTGTTTTATAGAAAGGCTGCGATCCAAACCGCTGTCCTCAGCTTTGGACTCACATTCAGGAACGTCCCTTTAAGAAGCATTTTATTCATCTGGTTTTGGGAAAAGCCCGTCTCGAGTTTGTTGTTTTTTTTCTTACGAATTTTCCACAGAGGAGATGCAAATAAACCCTTTTTGTTGTTGTTGTTTTTGAATGATGTAAAGGAGACTTCTAACGTACTTGAACGTGTTTTATGTTGACGCTGAGACGTACTGTAGCTCATCACGGTGGGACGAATACCTTCAGATCTCTGCTGCCCACATTTGCATTTTAATATCGCGTTTGCGAACGGCGTGGCGTGCTGTACGTCGCCTGTCCTCTTTGTTTGTGATTAACATATAGATTGATCGTCACGGGGCGCTGGTTTTAAAACCCGATCTTAAAAGGCGGCGAGGAAAAACACATCGGTGATATTATTGTTTGAAGAGTGAGCCGTGTGGTGTGCAAATCAGAAAAAAAAGTGTCGTCTGTTCAGGCCTTTTGTAGAACCAACTCTCCCGGCGTGTGATGTGCAGCTCGGCAGAGGAAGCCACCTGTTTAGTGCAGGCTGACAGCTGAAGAGGTGGTTTTTACTTTGGGCTACGTGTGAGAGATCTTTGATGTCCTTCTGTATGCAGAGCTTTGACAAAACCTTCGCATCAGCCAGGATTCTGATGATAAATGTTCTTGCTAACGCCTTACCACGGATCTGTTGCCTGTTCCTGATTTTATCCCCATATTAGTTCAAAGTGCCACGGGTTTGTTTCACTCAGCCCTTCGTTGCCTGCCCATGTGTTTGACCCGACTGTGCCCTCCGTTCTCTATCCCATACGTAGGCACCACCAGCTGTGTGTGTGATGTTCCTGGAAGGTTTTCTTTTCTTTTTTTTTTAATGCAACAATACTTTAAACCCACTCGTGTCACTCCTCACTGTGTTGTCACGTCTGTGGGAATCTGTACGTGTAATCTTGCTGTGTGAAAAGTTACTGCTAAGCTGGATGTGAACCAGAGCGTCTCTGTGTGTAGCTGTGTGCGGTGGAGTTTGTGTTGTGTATCGCTGGAACGGGCACACGACTTGTAACGCTCGGACTTATTCTTTTTGCTAACCGGTCAAAGCGAAGACGTGATTTAGGCAAAATATTATATGCAAGCGACTGTTTCTGTGTACTTGATGGTGAACCCGACACGGCGGACACTACCAGCTTCATCCTGATGAGAAGCGAAGGGAAATACTCTTTGTTTTTGAATTCCTCCTCTAAGTTTTAGGCGTGTCATCGCTATACGTCTGTGTAGCGCTGATGCCGCCATCAACACCGTCTGTATCTTTATTTTTTGTCATGTGAGGACTTGTAAATAAAGAATGTGCTGATGTTTTGAACCTGCGTCTGCTTTGTTGCATGTCATCACCACCAGGGGGCAGTGCAGGGGAACAAAAGTAGTGGTTTGATCATTAGTTTTTTCTCTGTAGAGTAAACGGATCATCGACTACGGGTCTGGATTGAAGTAACTCGCTTCATTTACTAGTGTGTGGCCCCCTTTTCATGATTTTCTGCTGCTTTCTACTTTTGGTCCACTTCAGAGGGAAACTTTCTCTGTTGCTGCATCTGTCTGACGACTAGAATAACTATTTATTATGTGATTTTAGACACAAAAACATAGAAAATATAATGCATTATACGTGAAACTACCCATACACTAGTTTACATTACTTTTGGTATTTTGCTCCTTTAACTAAATGACATCAATACGTCTTCCAGCGCTGATAATGAGGACTCATGGGGAGTTTTCTGACTTTGACATTTCAGCAGTGCTGGATGCTTTCATGCAGGTTAAATTTGATGAGCTTGTTATTCCACTGGAAGAAGCAAAAATCAAAGTCCTGCATTCAAAATGTAACTGAAACTGTTAAAGTACAAACTGTGGAACAGTGAGAGCGCCAAAGTACAAAAATAAATCAATAAAAAAATAATGTAATAAAAATAGAAATATAAAGACAAATAAGTTAAATAATAATAAAATGTTTTTATTATTTTTTAAATGTATTTCAAAATTTTTATTCATTTTATAATGTTTTAAAGCAACATTATAGAAAATAAATTTAAAGAAATAAAAAATTATGTACAAATAAAAATGAAACAACAAAAAAATAAGCAAAAATATATTTAAAAATAACTTATTTGTTTGTCTTCATATTTCTACTTTTATTAGCCTTTTCGTTTATAGATTCATTTTTGATTAATATTGTTTTATATTGCCAAATTATTATTTTTAATTTTATTTGATTTATTCTTCTTTTTGTTTCCACTTGTATTTTATTATTCTTTTATTGATTTATTTTTGTAATTTGGCGCTCTCACTGCTCCATAACTAACAGCCAAATGGAAAAGTATAAAAAAAATGTGAAAAGAGAAGAATATACAGAATATATTAATACTGATGTATTCATGTGAAAGCAGTATTTTAATGATGTCAAAAAGATGATTATTTTATTGTGTGTGCTTGTGAGTCGTATTTCTGTATAAAGAGGTAATTTTTATATGAAAAACTTTCAAAGTAAATGTTAATAACAGCTGTCAGATAAATGGAGAGAGCCGTAGCTTTATCTGAGGCACAGTAGGAAGGAATAACATAGAACATGTGATGCACTTCTCCCACTGACACAGTTTAACTCCAGCCTTCATGTCCAAGCTGAACAATCAGCTCTTTGCACCCAGAACATCCATTTACACCATTTGTGAAGCTGAATGAAACCTGACAGACGCTCACAGCACCTCCAAACTCTATGAAGTGTCTGTGCTGATAATTTCCAGGATTATTGTTAACCCACATTCTTTCCCATCTCCCTGTTCCTTCCCAGGATGATGTGGCCCCTCAGTGAGTCACAGTCTATTTTCTGTGAGAGTCCTTGGCCTACTTTGTCCCTCTTCACCTCCACCATGGACTTCCTACCTATTTTAGATGCAGGGAGATGTCTGTGGAGAGCTCAATTAATAGGGCTCAGTGTCAAAACGAGGCTCCGTTAAACCTATAAATACAGGCCTTTAGCTTAAAGTGACATTGACACGTTTTCATTACGACGACACTCGTTAGAAGAACTAATGCACTTCTGAGTGAGCGGCCGCTGGAAGTTTCCCGAAGCTGTCGGAAATGAAGAATGTGACGACTTTAGAGAAAATCAAGAACGGCCCTGCAGCCCGACTTCAGCTTTTATTGTCTGTACTCAGGTTAGCCTTTGATTTAAAATGGCTTCATCTCCTCTGTGTGTGTGTGTGTCTGTTCTCAACATGTCTGGAGAACCGTACGTCTGTTCTGCTTCAAACTTGTCGGGTGTGTTGCTGAGGAGACGAGGAAGTGTAGCGTCAAGTTTGAAGCAGATCAGAAGAACTTTTCCTCAGCCTGTCCTTCGGCTGCACCAGTTACTGCGTCATCAAAAGGCCAACGCATAGTCCATCCATCCATCCATCATCTCTACACCTTCATCCTCACCAGGGTCATGGGGGGCGGAGCCTATCCCAGCTGACTCAGGGTGAAGGCAGGTTCACCTGGACAGGTAACCAGTCTATCACAGGGCTACACTTAGAGACAGACAACCAAGCACACTCACATTCACACCTACGGACAATTTACAATCACCAATTAACCTCAGCATGTTTGTGGACTGTGGGAGGAAGCCGGAGAACCCGGAGAGAACCCACGCTGCACGGGGAGAACATGGAGACTCCACGCAGGAAGATCCCGGGTGTCCTCACCGGGACGCCAACCGGCGACCTTCTAGCTGTGAGGCGACAGTGCTAACCACTGAGCCCCTAGAAAGAACATCAACTTCTTATATTTCTAGCAGGAAGTTTACTGTTTTCCTGCCGCTGCCGAAGTCGTTTGGTTTGTTTTTATAATCCTGTGAGGTCTTGATCATTTATCGCACCCTGAGATGATAATTCATACTTTTAGCTTCTTCTATTCATGCAAATCAGTGATGTTTGTGTTTGATTTGTGTTTGGACAGCGTTTTGGGTCAAGTGTTGTTTTAAATATGCTGTAATTACAGGCTTTGACTTTAATGAGTCTGACGTCACAGCAGAAATTACCAGTGAGTCACAGGAATAATAAACTGTTGTGGTAGAAATATCATCATATTTCAGTGGATTTCAGTGAATTTACTCGAATTCTTTTAATGTTCTTGACTTCGAAGTTTGAACTTCGAGGTTCCAGCCGAGTTCCTGCAATAAGTAGCGGCGAAGCAGCAAACAGGTGAGTATCCGTCATCCTGACCGGTCAGCACGGCGCCTTCGCCTCCCCGAGCCGCACAGCTTTTTGTCAACGTCTCCTTACGTCGCTGGAAGCTCCTCACAAGAAGTTCTGTCGTTGGAAACAGAAGCATCCCTCCGATGTCCTCCGAGATGCTTCCTCATGCTGCCCAGAGGCGTCAGGAGCAATATGAGCAGAGGAATTGCTTTGTGGGGAGGGAATTGGATGAAGTTTTACTTTGGGCTGAGACATCGTTAAGAGTTTTTGGTTTTGATTAATGTGCCTGACAAACGGTGCTGCTGCTGCTGCTGCAGGGAGGGAACGTGGAGCTACAGCTGGGCTGCAGCAAAACCAAGCAGAAGACGGATCGGTCCAGCAGCCGTCACTCTCAGAGCTCAGCAGGGATTATTTACTGGCATATTGCACCTCTCAGGGAGTGACGGGAAACGGCTTAATTCATGGTTAACACCTTAAAATGCTGCATTAGCATACCGAGTCCAACAAACAGGAAGTGGATAGTGGTTTACCTGTCGTCTAACAGAAAGACTGGAGCCGAACTTTAGTCAGTGTTGATGTATTAAAACAGCAGGAATTAAAGTGTAGTACTTCGTCTTTATTGCAGCATTTGAACAACACCTTTGTGATCTAAGTCCAACAAAACTTTTTCAACCTCAGCTGCTCGATCGTCTCTCTGACCACAGCTCAGAACTGTTTCACATGTTTCTCTATCTGTGTACAGGCGTCTTTAGACCTTTTCCTAAACAGAAGTTATGGTTTCCCTCACTGGACGGCCTTCAACTTTGGAAATACCAGAGGAAATACCAGAGGCAGCGTGCACAGAGCTTCATGATGATCAAAACAGCTCCTAAAATCTGTCCTCCTCATTATCTGCACGGAGAGAAAACAACCTGCACAGGATCATCAACAGCCTGCGATGAGCACGTCAGACGGCGTGAACGCGTGATGCACGTTGACCACGGCAGCCATATGTTGGGCGCTAACGCCGAAGCGGTTGACTTCACAGCGACTTGATGTGGCCAAAGACATTTCAATTGTGTCTGACAAAAAAAACCCAGAATGTGTTAAAACAGCTTTCATGTCTGTTGGGTTTGAGTGTCATCTTCCACGTCGTATCGTAGCAACAACCAGTGGGACTGGGCGGACGACAAGGGTCCGGGGGAACACGAGCGCTGCATCTGTTGCTCCCGGCCGCCCACCATCCCCGAGTGTCGCCCACGCATCCGCCCGCGTCACCGAGACAAAACTAACACTTATGAGTCAGAGCAGCAGCGGCGGCGGCTCCACGAGAGCGGCTGCAGCTCCATTCAATCCACTCCATTGTTTCTATTCTGGGGCCTTTGTAGTGTTTCTGTCTTATTAGTGGGTTTGCCCTCCAAACATGATTGCTTTGTGATGCAAAGTAAATTGCGTCTATAAGTGGCGCTGTTGATGGCACTTAAGTGCGGTGTTGCCCTGCCTCTCATTGTCACGCTGTGGAGAACCTGTTGCTGCTTTTTCTGTACCGCTGTCGCTGTGAAGCTCGATGTCTTCTCAGAACAACAGAGAAAAACAAAGTCAGATTTGAATTTAACTCTTTCATGTGTCTTTGATTCGATCTCTGTCCCAACACCGTGCTCTGAAGGAACACAGGAAGAAAAACAGTCATTCACTTTCTTGCCAAGAGTCAGATGAGAGACTTTCTACTCGCCTCGTGTCTGCTCGCTGATTCTGAACACGCAGCCGGCAGCCGGCTAGCTTAGCATGAAACCTGGATCAGCTCAAAGCGTGCTAATTGCTCGTTAACATGCCTTACACCGATCAGCCAAAACATTAAAACCTGGGAGAGAGGAAGTTAATAACGTTGATTAACTTGTTACTGTGGCACCTGTCAAAGGGTGAGCTACATCAGGCGGCAGTTCTTGAAGCTAATGTGTTGGAAGGAGGGAAAACGGCCAAGCATAAAGATCTAAGTGCCTTCAACAAGAGTCCAATTGAGACGACCGGGTCGGAGCGTTTCTGAAATGGCAGGTCCTGTCGGGTGATTTCAGAATAAATCAGTTAGCGCCTCCTGAAAGTGGTCCAAGGAAGGACAACTGCTGAACCGGCGACAGAGTCATGAGCACCCAAGACTCGC